TATTTTTATTTTTATTTTTGTCCACTTAATTTTTTTTTTTTTAAATAAATAAACTTCCCTCCAATGGTATTTAAAATTCGTGATTTTGTTTTAATATCCAAGAAATCAATCTTAATCCGTAATTGTGTAAATTTTTCTCTTGTGTCTTTTTTTTAAAATAAAATAAAATTTGCGGATTGTAGCTGAGGGAGTAATTTTCTCAATCAAAAAACACACGGACTGTCTTTGTTTTGATAGTTCCACTAAACCATAAGCGTAAGCCCAGCCCAGAGTAAGCCTCTAAAACATAACATCAGCCTAAGCTGGCCCACGGTTGACTAAGTGTAAGCCCAGCCTATAGCGGGCCTGTAGACATCGACCGATCTCAGTTCTTATACTCTTCGTCACGTACAAACCTCGTCTTCTTTCAGCTGGACGCCGCACCTTTGCCCCAGATTGACCCGTCGGAGCTTCACAACCGATTTAGCCTCCGCTTCGAATCGGGTAATTGTTGTGAGTGTTGTTTAAGTTCGTTTGTTCAAATCGGATTGATTTTGAGGCAATCTGTGAAAAGGTGTACGAGCTGTTTTATATTCTTGTAAACTTCACAATTTTTCTGTAGGCAGGACTAATTTATTCAGTCTCTCTAATGGAAGAGATCCTCTCTAACCTATCAATGGAAGAAGACATGATAGAAGAGATTTTGGTGAAATTTCCGGTGAAAACATTGATGCGTATGAAGTGCGTTTGCAAGTCTTGGTGTAGTTTAATCGCGAGTCAACGTTTCGCCGAAAAGCATCTCAACCACCACTCTGCAAACAAATCCAATGACCAAATTATGATTTTTCGTACTCTGGAAAAGGACATTGTTTCCCTTCATTCCCCCGAATCACTAAACTTTGTTGCGCCACCTCTACCAATTGCCAAAAAGCCCATGGTAGTCGGGCTTGTTTCTACACCTTGCAATGGGTTGATTTGTTACCAATCCGCAAACAACGAGATTATGTTGTGCAACCCTTCGACTCGAGAGTTTAAGCTACTCCCTCCGAGCCATTTCCCTCAACTCTATGGATACAAATATATAGATCATGCAATCGGATTCGGAATCCACAACAAGGACTACAAGGTTATTTCAATTGCATATTACCTTCCTGAAGGCCATGTCCGCAACCAAGACAGATTATTCAAAGCTCGAATTTACAGCACGGTTTCCAACACTTGGAGAAGCACCTCCCACGACCCCACACCAGTATATACTAGAGGCATTGTGCCCACGGTCAATGGGCGTTGCCATTGGATCTCGTACCATCCCGAAAAACCAACGAAACTGTTCATACTTTCTTTCGACATGCACGACGAGATGTTTCTTCCTATGGAGCTTCCTAGTGTAGTGAAGTTTCCAACCGACGAAAATCTTCTTCAAGTTTTGGATGGATCTCTTGCAGTGTACATCGGTTGTGGCGTAGCCGTTGATATATGGGCGATGCAGGAATATGGGGTGGTCGAATCGTGGACAAAGAAATTCACGTTTCAATATACGTTGTATTCACGTGGGGATCCCCTACTCTTGTGGAAGAATGAGATCCTTCTTATGCCGAGCATTGGTAAGGATCTCAAAGTGCGGTTGGCGTGGTCGTATGGAGACCAAAGGTTTGAAATCGATGGCAGGAGTTGTAGATTCAAAGCCATGCATTACGTGGAAAGTTTAATATCCCTAAAGTGAGATTAAATTTATGACATTTGGTTAATAAATTGCAATTATTATCTATTTTTGCGTATTTGCTTGCTCGTGTTAGGATTTAATGAATTTTGGTGTGTTTGATTCTTTTTTTATTATTGTAATTGTATTGGCTTGGGTTAACTTAAAATTTTAAAATTCAATATGCTCTCAGTTTTATTTTGTGATGGTTGATTTACATGACATATTAGTTTGTTTTGTTGTTGTATCGTTGTTTGTTTCGAATTAATCCGGTGTTATGAGCACATGTTTTGAAAAGAAAAAAAAAAGGTTAATTGTCAAAAAAATCACTTGATTGCAAATCTATAGTAATATAAAGAGGTTGTTGGAAAAATACAAAAATAGTAAAATTGACTATAAAAATATTGATTTGACTTACTAATTTAAGAAATCTAAATAGACCCCACACGTAAAAAAATAATGTAACTAATTATTGTCTCAAGTCAAAATGTGCTCGGATATGATTTTCAGCGGATTCTGGGCCTTTTTTTTTTGCACAAGATTCTGCGCCTTTTTTATATGTTCACATGTGTGCATAATGCTATAATGTCTTCAGGATAATTATTGAAATAATTCCTTCCCAACTTTATCGGATATTGGACTTAAAAAAATAACACGTTTTTAGTATAGGTTGAAGTAATTAATCTCTCATCCAAATTAATTCCAATTGTTCTAACTAATTACAGTGAATTTTCTGCGAGTTTTTATTTAACCATTAACCATTTTCATAATACTACAAGATATTGAAGATAATGATTGAATTTGCTTTTACCAAAATTATCTCACCTTAATTGTTGTTAGTACACGCCTTTTCCCTTTTTTTTTTCAAAAAAATATTTTGTTTTTTTACAACAAACTTAACAGTTTTAAAAATACTACAATATCTTGCATATAATGATTGAAATTGTCTTACCAAAAATATATGATTTTGTTAACTAAAATGTTACAATATATGTACACGAATTTGCACATTTATGTCCAATAATTTTTTTTTTTTGGCCAACTGATCATTGCGGGAGATTCATAATCACATAAATCGGATATTATCCCTTAATAAGATTAGTACAATCCATAAATCCGTAAATCTATAGTAATATAAAGAGGTTGTTGCAAAAATACAAAATAGTTTGTTTGACTTGAAAAATAATGTTTTGACTTACTAATTTAAGTAACACCAATGGGCCCCACGCATTAAAATTAAATTTAAGTAATAAATCTCTAATAGAAAAAATAGTTCGGATTTTCTTAACCAATTCAGCGGATTCTGTGGGATTTTATAGATTCACAATTTTAATAATTAATACAAAATCTTGAAGATCATTAATTTAAGTAATAAATCTCTCATAGCAAAATTAGTTCAGATTTTCTTAACCAATTCAACGGATTCAGTGGAATTTTATATATTCACAATTTCAATAATTACTACAAAATCTTGATGATTATTAATTTAAGTAATAAATCTCTCATAGCAAAATTAGTTCGGATTTTCTTAACCAATTCAACGGATTCTGTGGGATTTTATATATTCACAATTTAATAATTACTACAAAATCTTGAAGATAATGATAGAAATTGCCTTACCAAAGTTATATGATTTTGTTAACTATATTGCTAAGATTATAATTAATTTTATATATGAATTGATATTACCAATTTTCCACGATAAGTACAGATTTTTTTGGGCAGCTACAAAATTAACGATTTGACGGCTTTTCAGTTTTCACATTTGTTTAACAATTATTCTTCTTTTTTTACCAACAGATATATGATCCGATTTTGTAGGATTTTATTAGTTCACAAATTTATTAATTGTTACATATTGCATCAAAATTGTCCACATATTTTTGCCAACTCATCATAGCATAATCAAGTAAATCGGATAGGATCCGACGAGATATTAATTATATCAGAATAAAAAATATCGGATAGTTGTTGAATCCGACGGGATATTAATCATATCCCTATAAATATCATATATTTCTAATGCATTCATCGTATTACATTCAATCTCATACTCTTGGTTCCTTCTACAGTCTTTTTGTTTTTTTTGTTCAATTTATCCAATATCAAATGCCGACATTTTTTTTTTGGCAGACGTACAGACTAACTGACAGATTTGTGTGTGAAGAACCTTTAAGTTGTAAAGAACATAATTAGAGGGAAAAGCAATAGTGACATTGTTCACAACATCATCAGAAGACGAACAAAGACTGACCCGAACAAAGGTAATATATACCCATAAATTATATACATAAACTTGCTTAAAATATTAATAATAATCTAATAGTTTATGTGAGAATATTAAATAATTTCATGATAATATCAATACCATTTATGCTTATC